TTCCAACTTTCTTTTCTCCAAACTGAAATAATTACTTTAATGAATCTGCTACAACTTATCTATAACTTCATTAGGACTATCTTGCCATACTTGAGAAAGGAGTATATAAGAGTTAGTATTTAACAGAAATACAGTAAAACCTTGGTTTGTGAGCATAATTTGCTCTGGAAATATGCTTGTAATCCAAAGCACTTATATATCAAAGCGAATTTCCCCATAAGAAATAATGGAAACTCAGATGATTCATCCCACAAGCCAAAAATATTCATAAAAAATGATCACAGTACTGTAATATGATAAAAAATAATAAAGAAAATAGAAAATATAAAGAAAAATAAACAAATTAACCTGCACTTAACCTCTGAAAATCTTCGTAGGTGGTGTGAGGGAGACGAGTAGGGTTATTGTGTAGGACGACTTTCACTATCATTAATGGAATCACTGCTATCCCCTGGCTCAATGGAATCTTTTTCTTTTCTTGCAGCTTTAACAGAGAACCTATCCAATGGCACTTGCTTTTGCCTCCTTTTGAGGATTTCGCAGAAATGTGACATTGCATTGATGATCACCCAAAATCCCACAGTGAATGAGAGAGAGACAGAGAGAGAGAGAGAGAGAGAGAACAGAAACATTGGTTCAGTTGTGATCATGTGACGTTCAACATCATCAACTACTAGTATTGCAAGATATCACTCCTTTATCAATTTAAAATTAGAAATGTTTACTATCTGGCAGAACACTCGCAGACAAGTTATTTGCAATCCATGTTTTGACAGCACTGACTTTCTTGGCTAAAGGCATGCAGTGTATAGAAATTTAAAATTTCTTTTTCCTGTGCCTGTAATTCAAAATGCCATAAAAATATTTAATGACTTTTCCACACCAAATATGTATGGTGCTCCATAATTTGCTTCAAAAATTAAGTGGTTGTTCAAGGGCAAATTAACCTAAAGGCAATGAAGGAGATGATTCACAGCAGTGAATTTACTCCCAGGCTGCTGCTGCTGCTTATCAATCAAATAATACAGGACTGTAAAGACTAAAATTTACTTTATCATTCCCATCCTCATTCCACTCCTCAAAGGTAGTCACTTATAATAGTTTAGTGTAAATATTTCTGAATGTTTTCTAGTTATTCAGTAGATATATGTTCATCTCCTACTCTGTGCCATGCAGTTGTAGATGCTGATGATACAATAATGCACAAAATCAGACCAGCTCTCTGTTCTCAAGGTCTTCACAGTTTAGGGGATGAAACATAAAATGAAACAAGCCAGTATACATATAACATGATATCAAGTGCTAAGTAGGTAAGAAGTCTACAGTAGGACAAAAAGACAGAATAGAGGTATATACTAGTTGAGTAGGGGGGTCAAGGAAGCCCTCTTTACCTGAATACAGGGAGAAAATGATCCCCTCAAATATGGTAAGAGACGCTAAGCAAAGCGAACAGCCAGTGCATAGACCCTAAAGCAGTAGCAAACCTGGCAGGGTTGAGCACAGCAAGGAGGCCAGTGTTGCTATAACAAAGTGAATGAGGGGAAACTGGGTAAGAGATGAAGGCAGAGACACAAGTATGTAGGACTTTATGAATTAGGCATTGGCATGGTCTGATTCATACTTTAAGAGGCATTCTGGCTGCAGAAAGGGGTAAGGATAAGAACTAGGAGACCAGTAGGGGGCTACTGCAGCGGACCAGGAGAGAGATGATGGTGGCTTGGCCTCTCTCTCATTCATTCCTTGTAGGAATGCAACTGGTACAGCCACTTCAGCAGATGGTTTGGAAGGTACTTAAAAAACAAAACATACTCTTACCATACAATCCAATCATTGCTGATCCTTGGTATTTACTCAAATGACCTGGAAAACTCTGCATACAACTATTTTTAACAGCTTTATTGTAATTGTCAGAACTTGGAAGCAACCAAGGTAACCTTGGTTGAATGTATAAACAAACTAGTATATCCACACAATAGATTCTGATTCAGCAATAAAGAAAAAAAGAGCTATTAAGACATGAAAAGACAGTATGGTATTTAGATCCACAATAGCTAAAAAGTCATTTTAGTTCCTTACAAATGATTTTTATATTTCAAAACCAGAAGTACAATTGACTTGCTCTATTAAGTGAATATTAATAAAAGATAGATGGTCATCTGTCTGATTTATCATCTATGCTGGTAGTTCGTGAGTGATGGAAATATTCTTTCATAGTCATTACATATTTAGCCTTCATATATATATATAAAGACATATATTTCCTTACTCTTTATATTATTAGAGAAAAAGAATGAAAGATAAAGAGCAAGAGAGATGAAAATGAAATTGATTGATTTTAAGGAACTGCCTCATGTGATTGTGGGGGCTGGCAAGATGGAAATTTTCAGAACGCGCTGACCCTGGCTGGAAATTCTGGCAGGAGTAAATGTTGCAATCTTTAGTCTGAAGGCAGAATTCCTTCCTCTTTAGGGAATCTCTGTCTTATCTTTTAAGGCCTTTAACTAATTGAATGAGGCCCACTCACATTAATCGGCTTTCGCATCTGAAAAACACCTTGATAGCAACACCTAGACTGGATGTTTGATCGATAACAAGTACCATGCCCTAGCCATGTTTAATATATAAAATTAACCATTGGAGAGGTATTTGTTGCTTTTTCAAAATTTGCTTTTAATTAGAGAATAGCATAGCTCATGTTTTCCTCTTTACACACTCTCCTTTATTCCTATACCCACAAATGAATTCATCTCAGTCTTTCTCCAATGTCATATGTCTTTTCTTATTTATTTGTTTAATAATTTTAAGTAGGCTTCAGACCCAGTGTGCAGCCCAAAGTGGGGCTCAAACTCAGAACCCTGAGATCAAGGTCTGAGCTGAGATCAACTGTCAGACACTTAACCGAATAAGCTATCCAGGGACCCCCATACGTTCTTTCCTTCTTACTGAATGACATAATGCATCATATTTAAGAATTACCAGACTCCTAATCCCACGTCTCAATATGAAATCTCATTTCCATATGCTGATTTTGTCATGTTTTATGATCTGTCTTAGATAACTTATGAGTTTAGGACATACAGTCATCAATACCAAATTTGTAAGAATCAATTGGCCAACCATTAAAATGTGTCTGTCATTCTACTTCAAGTAGCTGATAAAACAAGGCAGCAGTAGGATTCTTGGAATTTGGTGACATCACAGAATTACACCACAATGATTCTCAATCCACGTGCCTTCTTCTGTAGCTTTATTTGATAACTGGATAAGAAATAATAGAGATGGCATAAATCCTGAATTTCCAAACCCTGTAGTATAATGTTTTGCTACTGTTGGCTGAGCAATCTAATTTGAAATGGACAAAATGCTTAAAAAAGCATTTTGCTTTGAGTTACAGTGTCAGTGTGTTCAGTGTGTTAAGGGTAAATCAGAATCACCCAAACGTAAGTTCCGAAAGAAAGTTAAAAATGATGTAATGTAAGTATTAATCAGTATTAACTTCCAATTATGTAAGTCTTTTTTGTCTTCATATGTATACATGTTGCTGTGTAACTCTAACCCTTAAGTTGGATATATTTTGTCATAAGGTATTTCATAAATGCATTTGTGCTTATTTAATACCATGAAAAATAAATACTGTTTTGTTTATAGAAAACAGCAGCACATAGAGGTCATCATATAATCTTTTGAGCCTCATTTTGGTAGCACTGGGTACTTTGAATGAGCTTTCTACCTTTTTTTTTTTTTTTCCTTTTCCTTGGTCTCTGCACTTTCAAGTTAGTGTGACTTGTTCTGCAGGCTTTAACACACACTCATTTCTGGCTACCTTCCATCAGCTTATGATCATTAGCCTTCACTCTGTATAAAGAGATTTACCTAAGCAAATGGAACCCAAGAGTCAAAATTACAGTGTGCTAAAAACAAAAACAAAACCAAAAAAACCCCTCTGATTTATTAAATTTGTGCACTGACAAGGAAATAATGAAGTCAAATGAGACAGAGCTGACCTGTGTTCTTCCTGGAGGCAAAGCTCAGTTGCTCTGTAGAGTTTCTGTATTTTGTGGGGAGCGTTTCTCACTATCTTGCCAGTTCAGATCTTTAGGAAGTTCTGGATGACTGGAGATGACTAGCCTAAAGGGCAGGTATTACTACCCATCAGTCCAGTCAGTGTTGTCTGTGTGGAGCTTATGCAGGGGACTGACAGTCCCCCCATTTCAGTTTCCAATCACTTCCTCACTCACTTTATTGATTTCCTTGGCCAGCAGTTCTAAACCCACCAGATCTCCACCTTCAGGACAGCATCTGCACAGAGCAGGAGGTGTTTCTCTTCTACTTACACTTGCTTTGTCACCTAAAATGAGCTTTCAAAATAATCCATTTGTTTTTATCTTTTTTTCTTCATTTTTTTAAATCTATGATGTTGCTGTCAGAATAAATATATTTTAGAATACTTAATTTATTATTTTCCTAAATTTAGGAAAATATAATCAGATCAAATGAAATAACACGTGTGAATGACTTTTGTAAACACCAAGGCCTTATTCAAATAGCTTGTGCTATCAGTTCCGTATGTACCCAAGATTATTAACTACAAGATAACTTTTATACCTTCGAGTCCCCTTTGTTCTTTCCACTCTAGTTGCCTCCTTTAATAACAGACATCTGTTTATGAAACATCTTCTCTATTTTAGTTTTATACATTATAAGAATAGTATATTAATTGATATTTTCAGATTGGTATCACAATACTTAAATGTTGGGAAAGCTCCAAATGCTCAAGACCCCTAGTGCTTGCCTTCAGAAGAGAATCAGTTTGGGGAATTCAGGGCTTTCCAATCTGAGGAATTTAGAGTTAATCCAATAATTTTCCTTTTTTTAGACAGTTCATATTGAGGGGTGATCAGAGAGTGATTTGCTATATTTTAAGTCCTATTGCAGTGTTTGTTTTGTTATCAGTTTGTCTTCACCTTTTCCTAAAGTTTAATTAGTATACATTTTTGTAGAAGACTGCTGGATACTGATGATGAGCTCAGTGACATTCAGACAGATTCAGTCCCATTGGAAGTACGGGACTGGCTGGCTTCTACCTTTACACGGAAAATGGGGTTGATGAAAAAGAAATCTGAAGAAAAGCCAAAATTTCGAAGCATCGTGCATGCTGTGCAAGCTGGAATTTTTGTGGAAAGGTAAGTGAAATCGTTGGTATCTCAAGATAATAAAATTTGGAAAGCAAGAGATATACTTACCATATCAAAGTTATGGGAGTTGACTATTTTGCTTCTTGAGGAAAACTTCGATTATAAGTGTACATAGAATGAACAAATTTAGAGCTTTATTATGAACTTGCCTCTTACAAAAATGTTTTATCCTGGGTTTATTATTTTCATTTCTTTTAGAATGACATAAATACTAAAAGTAAAAACTTTTGACTGACCAGTGCCCTCAAATAAATCTTTGTGAGTAACTGTTTAAGAAATTATAACACATTCATATGTTACATAACTAATTTTACCTGTAAAATGTAACACTTCAGAAAAATGAGTTCTGTACTACATACTAAAATCAAACAGGCCTTTCTCTGTATCAAAGCAAAAAGACCATCCTGTTTCCATAATGGGAGGAAAGCTCCCATGAGCTTTTGAAGAGTTTTTTTTTTAACATTTCTGTCACCAAAGCAAGGAATAGTTGGTGGCTCCTAGAAGCACCAAATTAAATGGCTGTAGTTCTTATGTGAAATACATGGTTTTATTGTTGTTATTGTTGTTTTTTTAGTTTATTTATTTTGAGGGAGAGAAAGAGAGCATGAACAGGAAAGGGGCAAAGTGAGAGAGAGAGAGAGAGAGAGAGAGAGAATCCCAAGTAGGCTCCATACTGCCAGTGCCCCATGGGGGAGTTTGAGGGTGGGTTCTGATTGAATTCACGAGCTCATGAGATCATGACCTTAGCAGAAACCAGAGTTTGATGCTTAACCACCACATGCCACCCAGAAGCCCCGCAAACTACATATTAATGTGGCCTAAGTTTATATTAATTTAGCCCTTAAGAATACAGTCTTGGGGCCCCTGGGTGACTCAGTCCATTAAGTGTCTGACTTCAGCTCATGATCTCACAGTTTGTGGGCTCCAGCCCACAGCTTCAGATCCTCAGTCCCCCTCTCTCTCTGCCCCTCCTCCACTAGGTCTCTCTCTCTCTCTCTCTCTCTCTCTCTTTCAAAATAAATAAACTTAAAAAAATACAGTCTTTTTTTTTCTGTCTAGGAAACAAGGTATTCCAAAATTAAAATTAAAGACTTGAAATAAACATATTATATCTGACAATTTTGAAATTAGTTTTTAGAAATCTTAGATTAAAAACAATTAAGTTATATATAAAATGATGAAACATTTTTGAAACTAATAAAATTGAGGAACAGAGAATTTTTTTGGTCAGTGTACTTAAAGAGAGACCACATCATTTTTCATCTTCTGGCATCTCTAGTTATTAGTTTTAATGAACATTATAAACTTTAATTTTCCTCTGTTAAAGGAACAATAAGAAACACCATTTGGGTCTCTAAAAATGTAAACGAGAATGCATTGCAAGAAGTATTTGATGCCACTGGAAAATATAACTATAGCACATAAAGCTTGAAGTATCTTGGCTTGTGCCTATATTATCCACAATAACAACCGGTCAGTGATTATTTAAATTAGTTTCAGTTTTTATTAACCGTATCTAATTGGCTTTGATAAAAGAATCTTTATATAAGCTGTTTGATTGGTGTGGAGATACCTACACCCCCTCATTCGATGCATAACTGGTCTCAACTCTGCCTGGTGGGACCAAAAGTCTGAAACAGAAAGGCAGGGCTGGAGAGAAGGAATATCTATCCCCCTCCCCCCAAAAAAACTTAGGAAAGTGTGTGACGGTTATTGATTTTCATAAATATCAAATCAATATTAACCTCTCATTAGTAGTTTAGAAAGTCAGTGAGAGAATCACAGATAAAAGACAGTATGTGTGATTTGCTGAAAGTATATATATTTGATCTTTTTAAAGAAAATATTCTAGAACTTGGCAAACTAAAAATGAGAGAAACTGTGGAAGCAAATTTCTATTCCCACCCAATAAAAGATTAAGATTTCTGCAAAATATATTGATATCCTACATAATCATTTTTCCATATGCTAATAAAATATTTTATTTAGTAGACTAAAACGTACTTAAAACAACTAAAATAGCATGCAGCCTGGAAAAAATCAATATGCTACAAACACATGGAAATAGAATCTCTTTTATGACTCTTATAGCCCCTTTAGTAGATGCATAGAAATAATGGCACGTGCTTCTCTTCAATTTTCAAAGATAATTGTCTTCCATTTTGAAAGTTAGAAAGCCTTCCTGAGCATCCTGTCAAGTCTCACCTCCCAAGACTCAGTGCCTCAGCAGGTCCTGGCCATTCGCCCACCCAAAAGTACCCCTAATCTACTGGCTTTTGCATCTCCACTCCTGGAACCCCAATCTCCATCTCTGTTACCTGCCATCAGATATGGGACAGTAGCTTTCCAATTGGGCCTCCCTCTTCTGAAAGTGTCCTCTCCAAACAAGTCAATTCTAAATATATAAATTAGTCTCTGTCACTCTTAAGCTTAAAGCCATAGATTGGTTTTCCACTTCACTTGGTATTAAAATTTTTTTAATGTTTTATTTATTTCTGAGAGACAGAGAGAGAGAGAGAAAATGAGCAGGAGAGGGTCAGAGAATGAGGGAGACAAAGAATCCAAAGCAGGATCCAGGCTCTGAGCTAGCTGAGAGCACAGAGCCCGACATGGGGCTCAAACCCACAAGCTGTGAGATCGTGACCTGAGTGGAAGACGGATGCTTAACCAACTGAGCCACCCAGGCGCCCCTGCACTTGGTATTAAAAGCAATTTCTGTATCATGGGTTTGCAGCATTAGGCCTCCTTTTGCCTTCTCATCTCATCAAATGCTACCTTTATTTTTCACTGAATATCTGTCCTGCTCGGATTTCAACCCCATGAAGATCCCTAACTCTTTCTTCCCTTGAGGACAATTGTCCTGTTATTCCCTTTACCAAAAATGATTTTCCACACCCTTTCCCCTGCCTGGCCCTTTATCTCTTTTCAGAGGCCTTTCCTAAGCACTCTATATACTTTTCTTCACTTTCTCTACCCTAACCAGCAGTTTACCATATATATATACATACATACATATATACCATATATATGGTATATATATATACATACATATATAGCATATATATGGTAAATTATATACATATAAAGTTTATTTATTTATTTTGAGAGGGAGAGGGAGAGAGAGAATGAGCAGGGGATGGCAGAAAGAGAGGGAGAGAAAGAAAACCCAAGCAGGCTCCACACTCTCCACTGAGTCCTGCTCAGGGCTCAACCTCATGACCATGAGATCATGACCTGAACCTCAATCAAGAGTCTGATGCTTAACTGACTGAGCCACCCAGGCACCCCTGTAATCATATGTTTTTATTTATTGTCCTTTTTCACTGCTCAGTAAGCTCTGTGAAAGCAGCAGCTATATTTTTCTTGTTTGCCACTGGTCTCTTACCTAACACAGTGTCTGACATAAAATTTTCTGAGGAGGATCTTTTGGGTTTTTTTTGGTTTTTGGGTTTTTTTAGTTTTTGAATTACATTTTGCAATTGTAGTAAAAACTTCCTAGAAGAATCCAACCGTATTTCCAGTTGGACTTTGACCATCTGCAGGAGCCCAGGAAACTCATTGTTCTTTTTCAGCAACTTCTAATATATCAGCTATTTACTCAAGTGTGAGGCAATTGTATTAAGGTTTGTTCCACACTGATTCTCCTTCCAATTATCCTAATTTTTCGTCCTAATATTTTACTCCCAATTATAAGATTGGAAATAGATAATGGGAAAGTTTCTCTCTCTCCTCAGAAAGATAATCTGCTTTGTCTCTTTCCATTCCATGTAAGGAGAATGCGTCCTGTTAACTCATTTCTCAGCCTACTACAGGTCTAAGGAAACAGCGCAGAGTTCCCACAGAGCCCAGGGAGCCCTGAAGAACGTAAGAATTGCAGCCAGCAGCACTGGCTGCAGAATAGTGAGAACAGTGACATTAATAATAATAATGGCTTTCTAGTGTTCAGTACTTACTATATTATGCTCAGCATTTATATCATTTACTCTTCACAAAAAGCTTATAATTATCCTTGTTTTACACATGACTGACATTAAATAGCTTTCCAAAGGTCACATAGATAGTGAGCAGCTAGTCTGTGATTGAAAGTATGTCTTCTCCTCAGTACAGCCTACTGCCTCTGTGCCCTGAAGTCACACCAATTGAAAGTTATGTGATTTTTCTTCCGATTATTATATTGACCTTCTTTTCCTTGTCCATTACCCTTCTATTTCCTCTGTACCTCCATTTATTAGTAATAATGACTAGACAAATAGAAAAGACTCATGTCTCAAAAACACAAAACAACTAAATATCATTATTGACAATAATTATTTTCTGGGTCTGTTATAGTGTAATTACTAGTTCCCGTGCCCTGCAAGACTAGAGTAATTGTGCCTATCTCAATAGAGTAATTAATATAAGTATTTCTACTAATAAACTGCTCTGATATCTTCCAATAGAGATAGAGAATAAGGATAATTTTTTATTATAACCAATTACCCACATTCAGAAATCATTTAGAGTCATTTAAATTAAACATAAAATGAAAGTATAGAAATAAAGTAATAATGTCTCTGTAATAAAGTGGGACAATGCTTTAGCAAGAAAACCTAGGCTAGAGATGTATGCAAATGCAGTATTTTAATTCTGAGTGTCAAAGAAGTCAAGATTAAAAAGGGAAACATGAATTTTTAGCATTTATTATTTTATGAAAAGATAGGTTTTACATAGAAACTAATACGTCTTATGGATTTTTAATATAAGGTTATTGAATCTAAAATGTTAGCATCTTCTATAGTGGTTTCATGAAAGGTGAAAAACTTCCAAATGACTATTCTTATGCTGACCTCCCTCATTTAACTAATGATATAATTATTAAATTATTATTTTATTCAGGAATTTTGGGAGAAGTTACAACATAGTCTAGAAATGCAGCTTTCCTATGGACTAATAATATAAAAAAGAACATGATTAATAGTTAAATTCTTTCTTCTCAGGACTTTGTGAATGAACCATGTATCTTCTAGTTCTGAATCAAAGCCTATTGTTATTTCTACCATTGGGGTATCACACTGATCCTATTCTCACATGAACCAGTGGAGGAGTTTCACATATTTGGTTTATGTCATTTTGGTTGCTCATCAAAAGATGGGAAAAAAAATCCAACAAATTACTGATTAATAAAAATATTTTATTGATATGATCAAAATGGAAATAACTTTCTGTATAATTTTTATTAAATTTTATTAAGTGACAATTTGAACAAGCTTAAGCAATTTTTGTCAATATGGTCTGCCCTAATATTCTTAACTTAAAAATAAAAAAAGCTATGTAAATTCTGATGATCCTATGTACAGTCTCTTATCATTTCCATTTTTTAAAAAACAAAGAAGAACAGAATCTGTAAAGGCAGTATTTTTAATGACATTTCAGCTAGACTGAAAATTTTGGCACATAAATCAACACAAAACAAGAATACTCTTCCATCATTGAGACAGTGACATGCCGGAAAGCTCTGTTGCATAAACAAAGGACAGTCTCTTTTAATAAGATGAAGTTAGGGCAAAGATGTCAGTCATGTTGACTTTGTAGAGTGGTTGTACATAGACAAATTCATTTGAACATATGCCACATTGTAGCTGCCCAATAAATGGTGACCATAGTTATCATCATTACCGCAACGTGAGCCTGTAACTAAAAATGAAAGTTGAAAAAGTCAAAAGTAATTTTTTTCCCTCATCTTCAAAAAATAGTTGAAAACTCTGAGTAAATGAGCTTTATATATACATTTATTTTCTCTTTCAGGATGTACAGAAAGTCCTATCACATGGTTGGTTTGGTATATCCAGAAGCTGTCATAATAACATTAAAGGTGAAATGATTTCAATTATTTTAATTTTTTCAAATAGTCATTTTCCAATCTTCTTAAAATGTCTGGGAGAACATCAGAATAGGTCTTTACTACAGCTTATATGTTTGCCTATTAAAAATATTTTAACCACTTTCAACATGCCATGTGTTCTGAATCATGATTCATTGTAGACTTAAATGAGGATTGATTGACACCAACAAGCCATCAACGTATATGCGCATGTGTGCACACACATATGTGCCTTTTTCTTCTTCTTCTTCATGCTTTATTTAGGCGGATCTTGAATTCAGTTTTGAGATGGCACCAAGACTTGTCAGAATATACATATTTTGTTGTGTATATATTATGGAAAAGTTGCATGCTTTAAAAAAACAATGTTCCAGGACAAAACTTGTATGAAAGAAATTTGTTTGGAATTTTAGATCTGAGTAAATAAAAAAAATATAAAATTAAGAAAGAAAACGAAAGAAATTTGTCTCTCTCATCTCTGCTTTTCCTGTGGTTGAGGCCCATTTGCATTAAATATGTTAGAAATAACCGGAGTCAAAACTTTAAGGCGGTAAAAGTTTTGGATTCACTTGTCTCCACTGTGTGTGCCCATGTGAGCACTGTTCCTATTTCTAGAGGCAGTTTGTAGGCCTATTATTCAATATCCCATATATCTTTCTAATGTTGAATTCCGGTAGAGACATTCAACTTTGTCTCCTCTAATAGTTTCATGGTTGCTTTCCTGTATCACTCAAGACTTTAAAAGACACTGGCAACAGAATATCCTGAGTTGCTTTATTTCTGCTTTATTAAACTCTTATTCTAGTTTAAATTTATATTGTTTTCTTTTGTTAATTTCTTTTTAAGCATACCCTTTGCATCTGTTTTTCTCTCTGTTCCCTATTAGCGTTTAATCTTATTAACTTAAAAAGGTAGTTTTTCTTGGGTACTTTTTTGTTTAATTTTCTTTTTTTAATGTTTATTAATTTCTGAGAGATAGAGACAGAGCATGAGTGGGAGAGAGACAGAGAGCGAGGGAGACACAGAATCTGAAGCAAGCTCCAGACTCTGAACTGGCAGCACAGAGCCCAATGTGGGTCTTGAACTCACAGAGCCAAACATGGGTCTTGAACTCACAAACCATGAGATCATGGACCTGAGTTGAAGTCAGCTGCTTAACTGACTGAGCCACCCAGGGGCTCCTGTGTTTATGTTTCTAGTACTATCATAAAGAAGTATATAATTGAAATGTCACCCTGCAGGATATTAATTACTCCTTGAATCTTGTGAGATTTTTATTTCCTCAACTGTGGGCAAGAATGTTAACTTATTTTTATTTTTCTTATTTTAATAACCTTTACCTAGAAACCAACACAATGTTTTAATATGAGAGAAAGTAAACATTTTAAAATGCAGTATAGAAAAAACATATAAACTAACAGGTTGAGGAAGGAAACAGCACCAGTAAAGAATATTTTTAGTTAAAGAGTTCTTATTTCCTGAGATACCTTCTTGTCTTGTTTGTTCTTAATCAAGTATCTGCAGTAGTTTATAAATGTAAATCATCATTGTTGATAAAAATCCCCCAAAGTAGAGAACTAACCTTTTACTCAGTGGGAAACCCCTAGCAGGAACTATAAATAGCAGTCTCCTAACAATCTGAGCTAATTCTTCTGTGTTAGCTTTGGAATTTGATAAAAGATTTGTTGGCCTCATTTGAGCTTTACTGATGGCAAAATGCCTTTTAAGACAACTTTTAGAGATTCTAAATATACAAACAGATAAAGCAAGTGTTGGGGACCAAATCAGGGCCAAATGCAAGAATTTAACAAAAGCATACAAGCAAATAAAAAAATATATTTCATTGATGTTTTCAAGTGATTAAAAATTCCATTGAAAGCTGTTATTACTATTTTAAAGGCAGTATTTTTAAAAGAGACTGTTTGAATACTTTTTATCAGATTCTCAGTTTAGTTTCAGATAATTGGCCTCTGTGAAAATGTGTTAAAACGAAGTTCTAAGCAATGCCAGCCCAAATTCAAAATTAATACATAGCTTTAAGTTTGCCCACTTACTATTCAATACTAAACCTGTTGTGTGTATGTAAACCTACACTTTGCCAATAGTTTCCAATAATCATCAGAGCTGACTTGCATTTCTTTGAGTTTTTAAAATTTCAGCAATTTGTTTAATACTGGAGCTCCAACTTTACATTAAACCTCCTTAGTATATAGGACTTAATATCACTTGTTACAAGTCCATTTTGTGAACACCTCTGCAAGTATTCATCCTGGAATTACCTAAAGCAAACATCAGGAGATAGCTGTAACAGTTTGGCTTTCTCTCCAACTGTCAGTGTTTTTTTCCAAGGGTATGTATGTGTTTCCTTATAAGCCTGAGCACTTCCCTAGAGAATCTCCTGAAATGCTGCTATTAATCTCCTCTTCCTTCATGTCCACTTCCTTTTCCTTTCCATCTGTACTTGGAGGAGAGTGTAAATGAATTAGTCAAGGTTACAATGATTAATAAGGTAGTATATACTCCACCTTTCTACGGTGTTTGCATCTTAAAGGATAAGGCAAAGCTTTATCAAAGCTTTAAACCAAAGTACTAACTCTTATGGTGTAATTTCAAGTCATGTAGAAGGTGGTGGATAGGAAAGAAAAGTTGGAGCTACTTTCTCCCTATCCCTCCGTTGACATCACCACATAACCCATAATTCTACCTTAAAATGAAGCCAACTCTTGGAAAGTGATTTATGGTGAATTTGAAGAGACCAAGGATAAGGTTAGTATTATAGTGTTAATGTATTTATTACATCAACTTTGATAACTTTGGGATTAAAGAATTAAGGAAAAGATCTTAACATTACATTATGCATTATGGCCTCACTTTTGTGAACCCATGGATACTAAGTGGCCCTGTCATATCAGACACTGTGAAATATAATCGGATGTTCTAAATCAAAATGTGACCTTCTGAATCTACAATGCTTGATCTTTTCATAGAGAGAAATAGAACTATATAACACTGCCATTTAAAGTATTTATGCTTTTTTACAGGATGTTGATAAATGGTCTTTTGATGTATTTGCCTTAAATGAAGCAAGTGGAGAGCACAGCCTGAAGTTTATGATTTATGAACTGTTTACCAGATATGATCTTATCAATCGTTTCAAGGTCAGAAACATGGGACAAAGTGAAATGCTCTTAGAATTAGTTATCTGAATAAGAATGAAAAAGCAGAACACTGAATCATTAATCAGTGCATTTATAATGTTTCTAATTGGCAGGTCACAGAACTAGGGGGTGAGTTCACCACATGATATAGCCATTTTCCATGACTCACTGACATACATCCACACGGATGTCATGAGGCCTTGTAGCCTCAATCCAACAAGATACCATCATCCCCCTGAATTACTCCCAGAATAGTCATGTAGAGATTGTGAGCTATGTTTTTTTTTTTTAAAAGATCCTCTTTGTGTTCCACAAACACAGAATGGATATTTATTGGCAGCTTTTCTTAAACTGAGCTGAAAGGGCTTCTAATTAACTTCATTTAGAGCCATTTAAGCAGCAGATTTGATCCAGATTTCTGAGCATTCTGCAACTTGTGCCCTTCAACATTTCCAATGGAATCATGGCATTTTTAGAGTTAGAGGGTACCGGGATGTCATTTATTTTAGTCCTTTGTACTACAGATAGAAAAACCAGACTTCACCAATTGTAACTGGAAATTTTACCTTTTAAGAACTAGCCATCTGTCTTGACTCTGGAAGATATAAACATTTAAAGACCTCAGTATGGATGATATTGTTAATTCCTCTATCTTAGTTAAACACATGGGGTCATAATCTTATGGTTGAAAGCTAACAGGTTAATGAAATCGTTTTTCAGAACAACCTACATTTAACTTCAAAAAAAACTCCTGCCCACATCTGACTCACAATCGTGTCCCATCCCAAACATTGTAGTGCTTATGTTGATTTAATGCTACTATTTTCATCAAAATACAATCATAATTATTATTTTTTGCAGATTCCTGTTTCTTGCCTAATTTGCTTTGCAGAAGCTTTAGAAGTTGGTTACAGCAAGTACAAAAATCCTTATCACAATTTGGTTCATGCAGCTGATGTCACTCAAACTGTGCATTACATAATGCTTCATACAGGTATCATGGTAAGAAAGTTTTCCTAACTGAAGTTTGTTAGTTTGGAACATCAAGTTCCTTTTCTCTATATTGCCATTGTCCCTCTAATACCCAAAGAAGTATTATAAGTAATAATCTTTTGGATTTTTGATGGTTAATGAATTATTCATAATATATATTATCCAAAAAAAAAAAAAACATTTAACTCAGTGAAAAAAAGAAACCCAGAGGCAAATGTAAATATACTGTAAATTTCCTAAAATTTAGACTCTAGAACATTTTGTTTGTACATTGTTTTCCTGTAGGAATCAACCAAAATGTAACCTAGATAAAAGCTAATTACAGTGCTCTTCCGTCATATTATCATGTTCTCCCAAGCGGACTTCAGTGGCTTTTTCTCTTTTACTTGCATTGCTAATTACAATGAAACCCTAATAGGGGTTTTGAAAATTATTTATGTGAATTTTTCCAAATTCTCCTTGCTCTTCTTTGCATCTGAATGATTCAATGAATAAGGAAATAAATGATTCAGCAGTGCAATTCTGGGACAACGGTGACTACATGTTAGGAACTCTGGCACTGCCTCATATGTCTGAAATGTCTAAGAGTTTAGGGTAACTGTCAGAAAATGAAAAGGAAGGAGTAACTCTTCTAAAAATTCCACACTGACATGGGTTCAAAGGAATATAGTCCCTGAGAACCTTCTTGATTCCTTATGTGTCAGCCTATGCTAAAGCAGTGCCGTTAAGTGCATGTAAGTCGAATGTTCCACCAAACCCCATAATATGCATTGCCTACCTATTTTGATTTCAGAAGTCACACCTGTTCTTTTGGGTCATTGGCACTCAGATCTATGTAACTAATACTCTTTGGGGCCCAAAAGATCCTCAATACCTCATCTTTCCATACCAGGGAGTATTCCTAACCTGGTCCCAAGCAAAGTCCCTAGGGCCACAGTATGTTGTGTTAAAGATTTTGAAAACTTATAACAGTTACATGATTATTATTATATTTTATTATATATATATATAGGAAACTATTATATACAGGAAATTCTCATAATAATTTTATTTTTCCCTAAGAAACTATAACATGTTGTTTACTATATATACCATTCACTTGTTATGATTCATCCAGTAGTGTCTCACATGATGACTGAAGAAATTGTCTACTAATCTTCTTCATCTTTCTTTTCCTCCAAAATGTCACAGATCTATCAATGCCTTGGGCTCAGATCCCACTCGTAAGCCATGTTTCAATTATATGTTGCTCCAAAACAAACTACTCCAAAACTTAATGGCTTAAAACAACAATTTATGAATATCTCTCAAGTGTCTGTAGTTAGAAGGGTCCCAACTAGCAGGTTCTCACTTGAGGTCTCTCATGGGCTTGCAATCAGCTAGCAAGTATGGCTGAAAACATGAGGACATCACTAGCAAAGACATCCCTGGTGGCTCATTCACATGGCTGGCAGTTGATAATGGCTAATGGTTGAAGCTCAGCTGGGCTTTTTAATTTTTTTAAGTATTTGTTTGTTTATTATTTATTGAGCAAGGGGAAAGGAAGGGCAGAGAGAGAAAGAGATTCTGTCAGTGCAGAGCCTGATGTGGGGCTCAGACTTACAAATGGTGAGATATGACCTGAACCAAGATAATGAGTTGGATACTTAATCAATTGAACCACCCAGAAACCCTTTAGCTGGGCTTTTCATAAAGGATTTTCTTGGAATATTACCAACAATTTAAGAGAGATATGCATTCTACAATAAAATTGCAAAGTAATATATAGGAGTTAAGTCCTATTTGGGGGAGGCAGAAATCTCAAAAACTTTAACTGATACAGTAGCATGACATTCTCGTGACCTTATAGAAGGCTGAACTTATTTGTGTTATCAACCTGATACCTTGTGTTTTCCTATTGTAAGGTATCGGTATGGACATCACAGACTTAAGGTATAAATGTGCCCATTGGCTGAGATCAAATTCAGCTATAGCTGGACTTGCTTGGTCCTGGGTTGAAGTTTACTTACTTTTATTTCCAGGAGTCTGATTTGACATGGGAAGGGAGGGAGTAGAAGTTAACAATAATAAGTAGAAAATCAAGCATTCAAAGATAGAGCTTTAAAATATTACAAACTTTTAGAAAGAAGTATATGTAACCTTCTTTATAACTGTTTCTTACACGTGCAGGCGCACACACACACACACACACACACAAATTCTTTTAAAGTTCCTTTGGTTTTAATAAGACTTCATTGTCACAGCTGTTTCTTGAACTCTCTTCCTTCTGACAGCTGCAAATGCTGTTCTATTTGAAAAAGTTGCTTCATTCTCTTCCTGGTTAGAGTTGCTTTCAGTTTCCTCTTTAAGGCCACGGTCTTGAATCTGATAACCAGATGGCTTTCAAGTGTGGCATTTCCTCTTTCCTGAGTTCTGTGGCTTTGAAAAAGTTAACTCAAAAACGTCATACATAAGTGGTACTCTGAAATGGAAACTGAAGTGATTCAGGTTTTTCAGAACTTAATAGAATGGAAAAGTAAAGCATTCAGTCTAATAAAATATCTACTTTAATTATGACATGCAGTGAGAAGATATATGCCATTTTAGGCTGGGAGGTAACCAAAATTTCATCATTTAAAAATATGTTTCTGCTTACGTGCATTTTATATTCACTATCAGTGTAAAGGGAGCCAAATAAAAGTCTCCTAAGTGACATTGAAGAGATGAAGGATGCTGTACTATTAGTAAATAAAGACATTCAAATCCACAATTATGACTTTTCCCTCAGAATTGCGAGGAGGACTTGTTCCCAGATATACCAAGCCATTCCAACTTCCCCGGAAGACTGGACAAATGTGGTCCAGCCTGGCAGGACTCCTAGAAGTTGACATTAGTGAAGATCACATAGTCACTCTTTGAGAGGACCATAAACATAACTTCACTCTACTTTAGCAGGTTTTGTTGGGGGAACTTGTTTCTGATATATTCATCCTTTAGCAAAAATGTGCTAGTGGGATCTTTAATCATCCATTAGTTCGGCCATTACAAAAAGAGCCTAGTGGAAGATTGTCATTGTTGTCCAGAATCAGGAAAATACATTTAAACTACAGAGAGTAATGAGAAATTTGATGATAGATGCTAAGAGGAAAGGCAAAATGAATTATGAATTTATTGACAATGTTGACAAAACTTGATTACACTGCCAGGTTTATAGCTTTGGGAAAGTTATTTTAACAAGCTTTTCTTTATAGAGTAAAAAAAGTAATAGTAGTAGGTGAGTATTAATTTTCATGCAGATGAATGTGTTGTTTCTTTGAAACAACTGTATTATAAAAATATTCATTTAGTTTAAAACCCTCAGATCTGATAGGAGGAAGACTAGGTTGTCTGTATTTTAGTTGATGTCCTGCTGTTTCAGGAAGGTCTTATCTGTGTGACATTTATGGGGCACTCCAGTGGCAGCCCCATATTGTCAGGACACTCCAGTGTCCTTCAGTTTGTTAATGTCAGATGGGATACTCTCAGCCTGGGAGTAGATACTGCAGAGAGAGTTGATGCTAGTAACACCTTCCGTCTCTCTCTATCCTTTGTCACTTAGTTAACTTGAAGTCCTGTGCCAAGGTGACAGTGGTATGTGGTAGCTCAATCTATTTGCTAAAGAGCAAATTCTTTAACCAAGTGCTACCAAGCCACCTCCAAATATCTCTTTGAATTTAAAATCGTCCGAGGGTCTTGGCAAAGGAACACTTGTATTTAAGGGCTCCTGGCACTGTATTCTAACATTAAGAGAAGAAGAATCAAAGATGATGTGAGATATAATTCCTTTGGAAGTTGTAGTCCACTGACCATACCCAGAAATAGACACTCTCACTCTGGAATGACTCAATTTTTCTCCAATCAGTCTACAGAAAATATACCACTATGTCTCTATTCTATAAGCTATGTGGAAATTCTGTTTTTACAAATGGCTTCCCAAACAATGTTTGGAAGAGTAGAAAGGGTTCAGGCTTTCAAGGCAATCAGGCATAGGTTTGAAATCCTGCTCTACCACTACCCCAGCTCACACACTCTCTACCTTGGTTTTCCTGTCATTAATATGTGGTTAATAATACTGACTACCAGTGAAGAGTCAATGATGTCATCTATGTAAAGCACCTAACCTAGTTCCTGTAACATGATGGGTATTAACACACACCCTAATGTCAATAACAATTACTAACTTATTTTTATTATATTTATGTGTATTATGTATTAATATTATTATAACACTTACTTTCTATACTGGATAAGTTATAGCCAACTATGATATCCTATTCAAAGGGAGAGAGAAGAAAGTATCTAACCTAAAAATTTAACTAAAATAGTTATTAATTATGCTCTTTAGACACACCAGGTACTAATAGGTGTGATTTTCTGACCCGAAATTCTCCCAACCTTACACACACACACATACACAGACACTGAATAATTGAGACATGACAGTTTACGTCATAAATCTTAGAGCTCTATTATCTTCTACCCAGAAATATATCCAGTTAAATTATCTAGAAATTGTGCTTTTGAAATGTTAGAGAATGTGTTCTGCATATTACCTCCCTCAAGTAATGAATGCTATTGTCATCCATGGAAGGAATTGTGATCTCTGAAAGGAACAGGAACTTTGGAGTCAGATTTAGGGGTGAATTCCTGCTCTTCCACTTGATAGCTATGTGACCTTTGGCAGGTTGATGCAATTCTTTCGGATTCAGCTGCCGAAATGAAGGTTTGTTTGTTTGCTGCCAAATGAAGGTAAAAACATTTACCTCATAAATGGAAAATAGGATAGTTATACAAATGAAAGGCCAGCTAACTAAAATGTCCAGTTAATGTTTGTTTCTTCTTCTTTCTTTCTGTCACCATTGTATAAACTATTGATAGCAGTCAGTATCTCCCTATGATGTAATTTGAGGACTTCCCATTCTCATAACATTTTAGAGTTAGTCTACCTGAGCATTTTTATAGGCAAAATGCAAACTGTAGTTTAGATGAAGCACAGTGTCTACACTGTTCATGACTCATCATTTTAACCCTTTGTGCCTGCCCATGAGGAATCTGAAGAGTGTAGGTTATGCATGGGTCATTATGGTCATTGGGAAGAGGGATAGGATTCAGTCTCATTCTCTCTGGCATGTCCTCATGAATCATTTACAAAATCCATGAATTTAAGCATTCATTTTCTGAGTTAGAATTCTCATATGGCACCAGTGTAAAATGAATGAGCAACTAAGGAGCTAAAGATCAGCCCAAAACTCTACTTTGACTAATACAGAATAGATGTGCTTTTAAATTGAGTGTGAGAGTTGAACATTTCTCTTTCCAAATCATTTTATAATTTAAAAATATTTATTAGGGCTATAATGTGGTAATAAATAAAAGAGAGTCACAGAAGAAGTTCTATTTATGGGAAGCAGAGAATAAAGAGACTAAAAACATGAAATAAGTATAATCAATTTTGACAGCTATAATGATAATTTTAAATACTTATGAGATAATTTATAATTAAAATCCATCTCTGCTGCCCTAATTTTTTTTATAATTGCAGCTTCATATTTTATGTTATTGTTGATATTGAATATTACTTTTTTAAATCACAGTTAAATCTGTAAACCTTAAATATAATCAATAAGAAATACTTAAGAAAATAGGTGACTTTTTTCTAGGAATGATTTTTTAAAAAAACAATGGGTTTCTGGGGGTTCAAGAACTGGTTTAACTTCAGTTTTTATTTATTTCATGATGTTTAATTCCACAGTCTCACTGGGGACATTGGAGGCCCAGTCTTACTTCAGTCTATAATACAGGCCATTCTTCCTTTTAATGACTCACAATTAAATGAGCCCATAAACACAGAATAGCTAGTTATATCAACTCCCTTTGGTTCTGAAAATCATTTCTGCTTCAGTAATCCAGCTGTGAGACATTTATTCTTGAATTGCCATCATTAAAGATATGTTAGCTCACTATTATTTCCCAGACTCTATGCCTTCTACATTGCATTTAAGGTAATATGTTCAAGAAAATGGCATCTGTTCTGTATTTTACTATATGACAAGATTTGTGAAAAGCACAGTGACTACATTAACTTAAAACTTCTTTTAAAATTCCACAGGGAAGGATCACTAATTCTATTTTCATGAGAGCTCTGGCTGAGAGGGTATATAACTTATTTGCCTAATCAACAAAGATTTAAAACCAGAGATTGTTTTTTTTTTATTTTTTAATGTTTTATTTATTTTTGAGATAGAGATAGAGACAGTGTGAGCAGGGGAGGGTCAGAGAGAGAGGGAGACACAGAATCAGAAGCAGGCTCCAGGCTCTGAGCTAGCTGTCAGTACAGAGCCGGACACAGGGCTCAAACCCACGAACCCTGAGATCGTGACCCAAGCTGAGGTTGACGCTTAACCAACTGAGCCACCCGGGCACCCCCAGAAATTGGTTTTAAAACAGTCTCTTTCCATTACTCCTTATTACCTCCTCCTAATACAAAACTGGTGAAATCTAAGTCAACAGAAATGTATTAAGTTCCTGCTATGTGCCAATTACCATGATAGGTTATGTGAAGGGGAGCAAAGACTAATAATATCATGCTTTTTTCAATTATGAAATTCAACAGTTGTCACCTCTCATTTCTGAGTCATGGACCTACAATGGCTCCCTCTTGCATTTTATACAAAATCCAAATTCATCAGCTTTAATCAAAGTAGTCTATCAACTCTTCCCAAAAGCTGTACTCTCTTTCCATTCTTAGTTCACTTGACTTACCAACACAGTTGGCAATTCAACTTTCATATCAGTCTCTACACTCTCATTCTGCATTTGCTTTTTCTATTTAGAATCCTAACACTGCATTTAGATACTAATCTATCCCCATACTCTTTCAAGATCACTGCCACTAAATAGACATTCAATCTGCTTTTGATTGTACTTCAAACTGTGACCTTTTATCATGTATGCATGTAGTTTACATTACATTTTTCTGCTGCTTTGTACAATTGTTTCAAGTATTGGAATGAGACTACTAAGAACAAGCTCCATATCATTTGGATCCCCTATTACTCTGATCAGGTATCACCTATTGGTGGTCTATCCAACAGAACTTTCTGTGATGATGGGAACACTTTGCATCTGCACTGTTCCATCTTGTCACTACTTGCCAAATGTGACTATTGAGCAGTTAAAATGTGGCTTCTGTGACTGGGAAAATGAACTTAATTTTATTTAATTATATTTATTTTCAGTTTAAGTGGCCACATGTGATTACCATAATGCAGAGTAGTAAAATTGTTATGTAAAATGTCAGAGATGAATAAACTATCAAATTACCTAAGAATTATAATAGCAGAGAAATTTGTTAAACTGTCCAATTGATAAGAGAAAGATCAATGTATATTGAAGCAGGTGGCCTGGATTTTATGTGAAAACAGTTATTCTCTCTATACTTACTAACTTTAATTGCACAATCAAGAGTATGTGTTATGAAGATCAAGTTTGGTAAATTTTTAGAAACTCTTCCAAGTTTTTAAACATAAAAATTAAGTTCAGTTTCTCCTATGAGAAAGTCTTAGAAAATTTCAACACTTAGAACTCTTCTTTCAACTCTTAGAAAATTTTCTGATAGAAGGGGCTTCTACAAAAGTCGAGCTAAAGACATTTTAATGATATAAGCTATATGTTAAAAATTACTAAACTAAAAAAATTCCTAACTATAATGGATTTCATGAGACCCAAAATGCTAATTTGTATTAGCAACAAACCCCTTTGAATTAAAAAACCCAGTCAGGTTTAAATCATATGTCTGTATTTTGAATTTACAAGCCTTGAAACAATTATTGACCTCATGAAGCATCCATTATGCAATTAATGGATGTGAAATAGGGGAAAATATTTAAGATCAATAAAAATAATTTAATATATTTATATGATTACTTATACTGGGTGCACTGAAAATGTCTTCTGTAGAAATACAGCACAGCCTCTGGTTTCTAAATATCATAGTATTTTTTTTAATTTACTAGCACTGGCTCACTGAACTGGAAATTTTAGCAATGGTCTTTGCTGCTGCCATTCATGATTATGAGCATACAGGAACCACAAACAACTTTCACATTCAGACTAGGTAAGTTATATAAAGTATTAAATTGTAATTAAAACTTGACACTTATTTTGTAAAAATAAATTATTTTAAAATTATTTTGTAAAAATAAATTACTTATTTTTAAGAAAACTTAAAAATAATGTCTAATAAGAATAGTTTTAATAGATTTTAGCAAAGTTCCTGAAGCTACAAACTATTACTTATCAAGAAAATTATACAAATATTTGGTGACATATTTAGCAATTTAAAGATAAGGATGTGTCAGACAACTTTTCTCTGTCCAGAATTAATATTCTGAACTATCACATAAGTCAGACATCTTTTCCCTGAGACAAATCTTACAACATATTAAGTCATCAGTTTAGTGTCATTATGTATTTGAAAGTAATAAAATTGTACTTCTGAAAAACAATCAAAGAAACTGTACTTCCAAGTTAGCATGAAGTGCTAAGTTTAAAGTAATTAGAAAATGAGATTTAATGATGGTAATAATGTCAGTTAGAAGAATCAAAATACCAGAGAGGAGATATATTTATCACCATAAAATCACTGAGTGGGTGGTTTAAATAACAGAAATTTTCTCACAATTCTGGAGCCTAGAAGTCCAAGAAATGTCAGCAGGTTTGGTTTCTGCTGAAACCCCTCTCCTTGGCTGCTCCCTCACTGTCTTCACATGGCTTTTTCTCTGTGGGTGCACATTCCTGGTGACTCTTTCTTTTTCTATAAGAACATCAGCCATATTGGTTTAGGCTCCATGCTTATTACCTGATTTAACTTTAATTACCTCTTTAAAACCCTTATCTCCAAATACTGGCCCCTTCTAAGGCACAGGTGAGTACATTAACTTAAGGATTTGGAGGGGGCATAATTCAGTTCATAGCAGAAAGGTGCTCTCTGCTGTTTTGGTTGCACAGAGATCTCAGTGTGTGGGAGGCAGAATGTGTCTAGGACCCATCATGATCCAATTCACTTTCTATACATTGGATCCTGAAATTTCTCTGTCTTTCACTAGTCAGAGATGCTTGAAATGGAGACATACATTGAGAGACTGCTGTTTCTCTGCAACTACTGTAGAACTCTCTATGCTTGTTGAGGGAAAATTGCTTTTATTTTTTACTTTTTTCATTTTTTAATTAATAGACTTTCTTTTTTAGAGCAGTTTTAGATTCACAGAAAAATTGAAAAGAAAGTACATAGTTTCCATGTACTTTCCCCATCCCACAGCTTCCCCTATTGTTAACATTTTGCGGCAGTATGACACATTTGTTATAATTAATGAACCACTATTGATAATTATTATTCACTAAAAGTCCATAGTACACATTCTGGGTTAGTCTTTGTGCTTTATATTGCTCGTTTCTTTCCATTGGTGAACAAGATTACATTGTATGCGGTAGAGGTTGTCTCCTTATTCATCTATTGAAGGATATCTTGGTGACTTCCAAATTTTTGAATAAAGATTATGAATAAAGAGGCTATAAACATTCATGTGCAAGGGTTTTTATGGTATGTTCATGTTTCTTTAATAGCAATATTTAAAAAAAATTAATGTTTTATTTATTTTTTGAAAGAGAGAGACAGACAGACAGCGTGAGCAGGGGAGGGTCAGAGAGAGAGGGAGACACAGAATCAAAAGCAGGCTCCAGGCTCTGAGCCAGCTGTCAGCACAGAGCCCAATGCAGGGCTCAAACCAATGAACTGTGAGATCATGACCTGAGCCAAAGTTAGACGCTTAGCTGACTGAGCCACCCAGGCGCTTCTTAATAGCAATATTTTTAAAAACTGATTTTGCAGCTGTAGGAAATTATATTTTAGTGTGGGGAGCACAGGAACATTTTATTAAAATATTAGACACTTTTAGAGCTTTAAGTGACTAAGTGACAGAAAGCCACATTATGGATCATCTGTTCAAGGTCTCCAAACCCAAGAAAAGAAAACTAAAACCTCAAAGAGGTGAAATGATCTATCTATGTACTCATAGTCAGCTGATGACACTAGCAGAATTCAGAGGCTGAGAAGAGGGATGCTTTCAATCCAGCCTACTCATACAACTCTGATCCAATGGCCAGAGGCAGATGCATGATAGTTCCAGTCTTCCATAGCCTTAAATGTGAGGGGCTTAGAAAATGTGGTCTCTTGATGGAGACAAGAGAGAGTTGAAATTTAAACAGTGAAATACTGAGGGAGGTATTTTGTATAAACCCAGAATCCCTAAGATTGACAGAACAAGAAGGGAAAAGGAAGACATTGAGGTCTGGTCATGTGGAAGGGGGTGTTAATAACCTATACATTTGCAGAGTAGAGAGAGTTGTTCCATTTTTTGTGCCGAACATCAGAACAACGGTAGACTGTGAAGATCATTTTTGCTTGTCAAAGACTCTTCCACATTCCCTGAATCTATAATGAGTGAGATTTTAATTAAAGACAGCTCATTACTGAACTGAGCCCTGTACAGAGCAATAGTTTTAGGAGGTGAAGAAGGGAACAAGTGCTTTGTTACCAATGAACACTTGTTTCTACTTTGAAAAGTGAAGGCAATGGACTGGCCTTCTCTATCAGCAGTGTCAGGCTAGAAAGTTCTAGCTTTCTCCTTTACCATCCACTTAAAACTGGATGAATAATCCTAACTTACTTATACTTTGGACTGCAGAAGGAAAAGAAGGAGGTGGGGGATGTAAAATTGTATATAAAATTGTATGTAAAGGAGAGAAAAGTTCTATTATTTTATTTATTTTGTTATAAATTGCCTACCAGGATCAATTTAAAGGATTAATTATATAAGAAATTGAATTCTATGAACAAAAAGTTGTAATGACCACAAATTCAACAGTATAATGTGCTTTTAAAACTCTATTGCCTTTAGGGGCGCCTGGGTGGCTTAGTCGGTTAAGCGTCCGACTTTCACTTGGGTCATGACCTCACGGTTCGTGGGTTCGAGCCCCGCGTCGGGCTCTGTGCTGACTGCCAGCTCAGAGCCTGGAGCCTTTTTCAGAGTCTGTCACTCCCCCTCTCTCTGATCCTCCCCTGCTCACGCTGTCTCTCTCTCTCCTAGAAATAAATAAAACATTTAAAAAAAACCCAAAAAACTCTATTGCCTTTATATTTTGTCTAAGAAAAAATGAGGTCTTATCTTACCAATATCAATAATTTTATTGTATTTTGTTATTCATTATTACTTGGATTTAAAATGCTTTTCTAATTTGGAAAACTGGAAAATGAAAAATGAAAAATAATTTAGAACATAATGCAATGTTAAATTTGAATTTAATACGCACATTATAATTCATGAAATCCTTGAAATTGTAAATAAATAAAAATGATATTTTGTGAAAAGAAAATACTAAGCTACATGTTACTATGGATACTGACTGTTGCTTAGAGTCTTGTTCTTTTCTTAGCAGTCAAAGACCATCTCAAACATTAAGACAGTGCTGTATTCTCAGAATCCTGTTGATTTGTGAGACAAAATCATAATAGTTTGTTACAATTACATCTTGTTCAAAAATATATTTTTGCTTGATGCTGAAAGTAAAAGACAGTATTACTTGGAGCTATGTCATGTAAAAACACTCTCATGGCTAGATTTAAGGCCATATGACATAAATGATAGGTGATTTATAAGTCAGTTTTTCCCATAATCTGAGTGAACTTCTGGAGAATGGAAAGATATATTTAATTCTCTTTTAAACAAGGATTGCAGGTATACTTCTCTGTATATTGAGTTATGATTATTGGTTAAGGAATTTTTAGGACATGGTTGAGATTATAAAGAAAACCTATTTTGAAGTTACATACTACTAGCTAACTACATATGTTTTTCTACTTTTATGATAATTCTAGAAAAAAAAGATGAAATAATTGCTCTTCTTAATAGGTCGTTTTCCCTACGCTGGATTAATAATGAAACTGGTTTATCTGGTAGATTATTAGATACAAATCCTGAATAGGTAGCTTACAACAGAAACCAGATTTCTTTAGTTCTTTCTTTTATTTATCCTTATCTATTTTTTGGTAAACACTCAATGGTAAGTGCTATAATCAGCACTATTGACTGAAAAGCTTAAAACAAACAGTAAGTCTTAGTGAGGTTTAGTAAGACAAAGTATATACCTACTAAGAGGAAAGAAAAATGAAGAATCTGGGCATTGGGGCAAATGGAGGCAAAGTTACAGGTTTTAGATTGACTTTCTTTTTGCTATTTTTGCTGCCTACTTCCAACTTGCCAACATATTAAAATGGATTTACCATTTTAATTCATTGAGCATAGTATCTGTGCTTCCATTCCACACTTGCAAAATGATCTGGCAACCTAAGAAGATAGAGGAATAAGCAACCGGAGCTCCATTATGAGAGAGAGATGAGTGAGAATGCTTGGAATATTTCAAACGTTATGCTAGGATATGTTCAAGCTTAAAAGCAATGCAACTTGAAATAGTTTATTTGATCAAATGATATGATAAAATAATATGAAAATATGGACAGGTGAAAAACAAAAGAAAACTTCCCTTGATGAATTCATTATTTTAAAATGTTCATTATAAATTGGTGGTGAAACATACATTTTGTTTTTAAAAATGGTTTTCTCAGTTTAATGCTACAGGATCAAAATATTCAAATTGAATTACAACATTATAAGGGAGAAAAAAAGCCTAAAATTATAAATAGACCAAATGATTTATATCATCCTCTCCACCCTCCACCCAAAGTAACTTTAGTCCAAGGGAATAGGAAATAGTGGGTAATCAACTATCTGGATAAGTTGATTCATCAACAGAGGGTTGATTCTTTCAGATTGAATGAGGATGTCAAATAATTTTTTTTCCCTCTGTTTGGCATTTCTAGATTATGGATCTAGATACCTGGATACTCACAGGTATCTGGATTACAAATTTAAAGGAAAAGTCATAAATATATTCAAACTATGATAATTAAAGGAAGCTAAACACTATAACCAAGTGGGATTTAGCCCCAAGCTCAACATTCAAAAATCAGTTAAGGTAATCATCATATCAGCATGCTAAAGAAGAAAAACACATGATCGTATCAAGTCTCAGAAAAAGCATTTGACAAAATCCAACACCACTCATGATAAAAATGCTAAGTAAACTAGGAATAAAGGAGATTTTCCTCAACTTGATAAAGAATATCTACAAAAACCTGACGACTAATAGCATACTTAGTGAAAAATTTGAAACTTTCCCACTAAGGTCAGGAACAAGGCAAGGATTTTCTTTCTTACTACTTTTTTTTTTTTTTAATATCACAGTGGAAGTCTCACTTAATGGAATAAGAAAAGGAAATAAAAGTATAAAGATTGTGAAGGATGGCATAAAACTATCTTTGTTCATAAGTGGCATCATAGTCTATATAGAAAATCCAAAAGAAATGATGAAAACACTTCTAGAGTTAACAAGCAATTACAGAAACTTTGCAGGATATGATTAACACATAAAATTCAGCTACTTTTCTATATACCATCAATGAACAAGCGGTGAATTTGAAATTAAAATCATAATATCATTTATATTAACATCAAAAAATTGAAATACCAAAAAATGAAATACTTAGGTGTAAATCTAACAAAGTATGGATAAGATGTATACCAGGAAGACTATACAAATCTGATGACAGAATTCAAAGAAGATCGACATCAATGGAGGGATATTCCATGTTTATGGTAGGAAAACACAGTATTGTCAAGATGTCAGTTCTTCTCAACTTGATCTACCAATTCAATGTGATCCCAGCCAAACTCCCAGAAAGTTATTTTGTGGATATTGACAAATTTAAAGTATATGGAAAGGCAAAAAAACCAGAATAGTCAATATATTACTGAAGAAGAAAAACAACATTGGAGAATTGACACTATCTAACTTCAAGACTCACAATAAAGCTACAATAGTCAAGATAGTGTGATAATAGATCAATGGAACAGAAGAAAGAGTCCAGAAATACACACACATAAACATAGTCCACTGATCTTTGCTAAAGGAGCAAAGGCTATGCAATAGACCAAAGATAGTCTCTTCAACAAATGGATCTGAAACTAATGAACATGCAAAAAAAAAAAAAAAAATCTAGACAGAGATCTTTGCCTCACAAAAACTAATTCAAAATGGGTAATAGACTCAAACGTAAAATGTAAAACTATAAAACACCTAGAAGTTAACATAAGAGAAAACCTAGATGATCTTGGATGTGGCAACGACTTTTAAGTACAACACTAAAGGCAAAATTCATAAAAGAAATAATTGATAAGCTGGAGTTCATTGAAATTAAAAAATTATGCTCTGGAAAAGACAATATCAAGATAATTAAGATACTGTCCACAAAGTGGGAGAAATTATTTGCAAAAGATAAATCTGATAAGAGACTGTCATACAAAATGAACAAGAACTCTTTAAACTCTACAATAATAAATGGCCTGACTTAAAAATGTGCCTTAACAGATGCCTCAGCAAAGAAGATATGCAGATGGAAATTAGCATATGAAAGGAGGCTCCACATTGTAAGTCATCAGGGAAATGCAAATTAAAACAATGAGCTATCACTACACATCTGTTAGAATGGATATAATCTGGAACACTGATGACACCAATTGTTGATGAGGATGTGGAGAAACTAGAACTCTTGTGCATTGCTAGTGGGAACGCAAAATGGTACAGCCACTTAAGATACTTTGTCAATTTCTTACAAAACTAAACATATTCTCACCATTCAAGCCAGCAATTACACTCCTTTGTATTTACCCAAAGGAGTTGAAAAATTATGTCCACGCCAAAACCAGAACTTGGAATTTATAGTAGATTTATTTATAATAGCCAAAACTTCGAAGCAACTGAGATATCCTTCAGTAAGTGAAAGGATGAATTTTGATAGATCCAGACAATAGAATATTATTCGGTGTTCAAAAGAATTAGTTATGAAAAGACATGGAGAAGCCTTATATGCATATTACTAAGTGCAAGAAGCCAGTCTAAAGAAGCTACATACTATATGATTCTAAATTTATGACATTATGAAAAAGCCAAAACTATGGAGACAATAAAAAGATTAGGGGTTGCCAGGGGTTATGGGCAGGGAGGGAAGTACAGACCAAGCACAGAGGATTTCTGTAGAAGTGAAAATACTCTGTATAATGTCATAAGTGTGGATGCATGTCATTGTACATTTGTCCAAAGTCACAGAGTGTGCAACACCAAGAGTGAATCCTAATGTAAACTATGGACTTTGGTAATAACAATGTTCAATGTAGACCTATCAATTTTAATAAATGTACTGCTTTGGTGGGGAGTGTTGATAATGCGGGGGGTGGATGTTATACATGTGTGGGCTGAAGGGGTATATTGCAAATCTCTGTACCTTCTGCTAAATTTTGCTGTGAACCTAAAACTGCTCTAAAAAATAAGATTTATTTTTTAAGTATTAAACAATTAAAAGAAATTAATTACTTCCATAAATTTGTGTGTTCAATTATAGAATTTTAACTTATGAGATATCTTGTGACTTGAGTATTCTTATTAAACACTCAAAGTTTATAGAAATCCTGTAGTTTATGTTTTGCTTTTAATTCTTAGGTCAGATGCTGCCCTTTTGTATAATGATCGCTCAGTCCTTGAGAATCACCATGTGAGTGCAGCTTATCGGCTTATGCAAGAAGAAGAAATGAATGTTTTGATAAATTTATCCAAAGATGACTGGAGGTGAGTTTCAGAGGAAGCCTAGAGGAAATTTAATTTCAGGAAACAGTTAAATGATGTGATTTAAAGTGAAGAAAACAGATGAAAGTCAATCTCTTAATCATGTTATAAAAATTCCTGGATGACTTGTTGACTGGATGGCTCTAAGAAGGATTAGTATCTTGAAGTCATTCAGTAGCCAGGCTCTGCTGGTGGAAGTTGAACTATTTTCCTGGATAATTCAGCGTCTGTTTGCATCATAGCCAATCCATAAGACCACTACAAACACTTTAAGATATGTAATTATGTACTCTGGAATGGAGCTCTGCTTAATTATACCAATATGCGGTCCTAAATAAATTCAAAATTGTAGTGTAATATGGATTCCTTCATATATTATTTTTCTATATGTGGAGTTTAGCTTTTTTAAAAAATAAAAAAATTCACTGAGGGAAAAAAATTACAAACAGAATATACTAAAATGACCCAGGTGCAGAGAGAAATCTTACCTTTTTCTTCAAGGCATCCATCTGCTTAAGACAAACAACAAAAACAAAAGCATTCATGGATTGGTGACACCTCTTGTCATGTAGGGGAAAATAGCAGTAGGTACCCGTACTGCTCAGATTAACTTTTCCTCCCTTCATCCTTTGGTCATCATCATCCCCTTCATTTGACTATAAGGCTGCTGGACTTAACAAATATTGATAAAGGGTGTCCGGTGAAGTATGAATTTCTGATAAAATAGAGATTTTTTAGTGCAAATATGTCCCTACTATTCAATGAAACCTACTTATTATTTTTTTTAAAAAGCCTTATCTTGAACAAAGATTTTGTTAAAAGTTAGTTAATGAGCTGAAAAGGTTCCCATTTAAACATCAGAGGTTTTTAATTTTTTCTTTAAATCAAGGTAAAAAGAAATGTCCAGAGATAGGCTTTCGGGTGAAGAACTGCCTCAAAATGAATGAATGAATGAATGAATGAATGAATGAATGAATGGTTAATTCAAGGTTTAAAACAAGCCCTAATTTCTGGTGGTTACATTTCCAAATACTCAAGCTTTCTGGTTTTTCAAGGCCACTTTTGAAGCTGTCTAAGACATATGGTCTCACTTTTGCAACGTTGAAAGCAGATCTGATGTAGGGGGGAGGAGGCTGGGAACCCAATTTGGGCCTTTCATTTTATTCTGCAGGAAACAATAGCTCAGTTGTGTTTCCAGCTAAAAAGGCCAGCATCTAATTGTGAAAGGATTTTAAAGCTACCATTGGTGGTCTATGTGGAGAATAGAAGGGTATACATAGGAGATAAGTTTGGAGGTATTTGCTAAGGTCCAAGAGATGATTAGTTACATTTACTGTATTAATTTAATTTTTATCAGTAATTATTAGTCCCAGAGGTAACATTTATATTATTAATTTTTACTATTATTCCTTTGAATTAACCTTTTACTTTCTCAAAGTTGATTCTGTTGCAATTTCAATGTGATTTTTTCCTATTATACTTTTGTTCTTTAACATCTTTAGTATTCTAATAATTTATTCTTGTAATAGTTTATAAATTTCTGTACAGTAACTACTCAGAATCATCCTAATTGAAAGTTTTTACAGAATTGTTTTAATACTATAATATCATACAGATTATAGAATTTAATAGATACAACACTGTTTCTAAAAAGCTATATTTGCTAGTATAAAATTGATAATATTTTACCACATTAAAATAGATTGCTTTTTTAAAGACTTAGACATTTTCAATTTGCGTACCTATTTATTTCTTAATGTAACTTTAGTAACCATAAATGAAATCATTTAAAAATTTTGGTAAGGAAGATTCATAAATAAAGTAACATTTCCTTTGTGCACTATTTTGCCTAGTTTATTGATACATTACTAGCTGATTACTGATAATATCTAGCACTTACTAATCACTTATTTGCAAAGTAAAATGTACTAAATTTTAAGATTTCATAAAACTTCCATCTCATTTTTCCTTAGTTAAAATGAATATTTTAGTTTGGTTACCATTGTAATATGGGTCTCTTCATAATTCTAGAGAAAAAAAATTAATTAAAAATAATTTCATTAACTATCTTTAGTTTTCATTCCTTTAGTATTTGGAGAAAAGTATTCTAAGCAAGCTATTCAATATCGTCAACAGTAATCAGAGGGATGATTTCTCACAGTGCCCATTTGAAAAATGCAGTTGAATTGAGGACCCATAATTTTCAGCAAGTACCTCTAATCTGTGGTTGCTTTAAAATACAGATCATCCACAATAGCACTCCCCTATGACCCAGCAGTAGCACTGCTAGGAATTTACCCAAGGGATACAGGAGTGCTGATGCATAGGGGCACATATACCCCAGTGTTCATTGCAGCACTCTCAACAATATCCAAAACATGGAAAGAACCTAAGTGTCCATCAACTGATGAATGGAATAAGATGATGTGGTATATTTATACAATGGAATACTACATGGCAATAAGAAAGAATGAAATCTGGCCATTTGTAGCAACATGGATGGAACTTGAGGGTGTTATGCTGAGCAAAATAACTCAGGCAGAGAAGGACAGATACCATATGTTTGCACATATAAGTGGATTAAGAGGAACTTAATGGAGGACTCTGGGGGAGAAGAAGGGGAAAAATAGTTGGGGAGAGGGAGGGAGCCAAACCATGAGAGACTCTTGAATACTGAGAACAAACTTGAGGGCTGATGGAGGTGGGGGAGAAGGGCAAGGAGGTGATGGGCATGAAGGAAGGCACTTGTTGGGATGAGCACAGGGTGGTATATGTAAATCAACTTGACAATAAACTAAGAAAAAAATTTTTTTATTTAAAAAAAGAAATAAAAATAAAAAACAAATCATCTAATCATACCACCTTTAGGTAAAATATCTTTGACACAAGATTATAATGCAAGTTTACCACATACATTTTATTTAGCTTACTATAGTGGCCATACCACAAAATGAAAATAAACTATGATTTCCAGTATAAGTGACTTTTCTACCTATCTGTACTGAGCAAGCAATGAAGGCTTGCCTTAGGTAACTTGTTTCCAACTTACTGTGAGAATGAGTTATTTATGCATAGATTTTGTGATATGGTCACCATATTTATAGCTCAGATTTAAATTTGATCAAAATTTCAATAGTACTAATAGCTCTGTCTATAGTATGTTGTAGGGTCAAGTTCCCAAAAGCTTAAGCAGAGAATCACACTCACTTTAGCATATTGGCTTCACTGGGGTCCTTATTATGATAGGTTGGCGCAGTGAAGTGGTCCTAGTGGAGTGGGAACTCCTGGTGTTGAATCTTGTCTCTGCCATGTATCAGCTACTTATGTGACTGGGCAAAACCCAATCTCCTCTGGTGTGAAATAATAATACCCCCTCATATAAAAGCACCTAGGACACTACTTAGACTGAATAAATAGTGATTGTTTTAATAATAGCAAATACTGCATTTAAAATTATTTTGGGGGGACACAAGAGTGGCTCAGTCGATTTAGTGGCCAATTCTTGGTTTTGGCTCAGATCATAATCTCAGTCATTTGTTGGATCTTTCCCTCCACTGGGCTGGGCATGAGCCTGATTGTGATTCTTTCGCTTTTTCTCTGCCCCTCCTCCAAATAAATAAATAAACTTAAAAAATAAAATTATTTTTTAAAGTTGGTCTGGATCCTTTCAGGAAGAAAAACAGTATTTAAGAGTTATGATTTGGGGAGGGTTGTAGGTGTGCATAGGGAAAGCATTCAGTTCTTAAAGGAGAGATGTTAAACAGCATCATTCACAAATCACTCTCCTGGCAACTTCCTAAAGCCATTAGAGTTAAAGTGTGAAATAAAGTTGAAGTTTGTGAGCTCTTTTATATTTAAAAAGTAGCATCTTTTGTGCTTATGTACATTAAGAAAAATAAAATTTAAATAGGAATATTTGAGGAGATGTTTTACTTGAGAATTATCAATGGGGAAATAAACCTTTCTTCTTTTGATGACTCCATAGGGATCTTCGGAACCTAGTGATTGAAATGGTTTTGTCTACAGACATGTCAGGTCACTTCCAGCAAATTAAAAATATAAGAAACAGTTTGCAGCAGCCTGAAGGGTAGGTTATTTTCTTTCATAATGTTAACGTTCTGTGGGCTTAGATTTAGAAAAGACTGTAATTGATATTGGGGCACCTAGTGGCTCAGTTGGTTAACATCTGACTCTTGGTTTCGGCTCAGGTCATGATCTCAGGTGGTGGAACTGAGCCCTGCATCAGGCTATGCATTGAGTTTGGAGCCTGCTAAGATTCTTTCTCTCTCTCTTTCAGTCTCTCCTTCTCTCTCCTGTTGCCCTCTCCCCGCTTATACTCTCTTTCTTAAAAAAAAAAATTCGTGGTATCTGGGTAGTTCAGCCAGTTAAGCATCTGGCTTCAGCTAAGGTCATGATCTCACAGTTCACAAGATTGATCCCCATGTCGGATCCTGTGCTGACAGCTCAGAGCCTGGAGCTTGTTTCAGATTCTGTGTTCCCCTCTCTCTTTGCCCCTCCCCTTCTTGTACTCTCTTTCTCTCTCTCTCAAATAAATAAATAAACATTAAATATTTTTTTCAAAAAAAAGAAAGTTAAATAAAATTTTTTAATAAAAGACTATAATTAGTTACTTTGTTCTGATAATTTAAACATGTTCTTGATTTGACAGGATTGACAAAGCCAAAACGATGTCCCTGATTCTCCATGCAGCAGACATCAGCCACCCAGCCAAATGCTGGCAGCTGCACCACCGGTGGACCATGGCCCTGATGGAGGAGTTCTTCCTACAGGTGCCTCTTTCACACTATGTACACATGAGTTTGGAAACAGTGACTACATGTATTGACACACACCTTTTTCTGTACAGAACCCAGGGCTTGTGACTTACTATTAACAACTGGCCATAGCATATTCTTGACACTCTAAGCAGAATTTATTAATCTCCCAGATAAATGTATTTCATAATCCTACATAGTATAGTTTATGTTTTAAAGAGAGTCAAGTTTTGGATCTCAGGTGCCACTCTCAGGAAAGAAAGAAAGGAATAAACAAATTAGTATTGTTGGCTGCTGTTAAGAGGTAAAATGTTAGAGTAGAAATATCAAATATATTTCATCATAAAATGGGAAAAGGGAGAATATACAGCACTGCTGTGTTCATCTTGTTGGTTAAAACTTAGTCATATATGCATAGTTGCAAGGGAGGTTGAGCAATACAGTTTTGCATTAGGTTAACGTGTGTTTTAGTAAAACCTGGATTTGTTGTATGAAAAAGCAAGCCTAGGGGCACCTGGGTGGCTCAGTCAGTTAAGTGTCTGACTTTGGCTCAGGTCATGATCTCACGGTTCGTGGGTTCAAGCCCCACGTCGGGCTCTGTGCTGAGACCTAGCTCAGAGCCTGAAGCCTGTTTCTGATTCTGTATCTCCCTCTCTGTCTCTGACCTTCCCCTGCTCACATTGTCTCTCTCTCTCTCCCTCTCTCTCTCAGAAATAAATAAAACATTAAAAATTTAAAAAAAAAAAAAAGAAAGAAAAAGCAAGCCTAGATATGGGGAATGGCCAGTGGCCTCTACCACGAGGCCACAAGTGTACTTTTTTAAAAACAGTATCCACTCCCACCTGAGGTACCACAATGCAATTGTGATGCTAACCACCCAGAGTTAGCATTATATCCCACAAGTTAAAGACTCAGTCTTCCAAAAGAGTGGCTCCACTTCAGATGCCAGCCTCAAGTGGGGCCCCAGGACACCAGCCCTTCTGACCACTGGTTATAAATTCAGTGGCCCTATTCAGGTCTGACACTTTGTTACAGTGATTCAAAGAACTCAAGAAAGTTACAGTTTTAATTATAAAGAATACAATAAGAAATGGCCAATTGACATTATACTTATTCTGAAAACATAAAGGCCAAATATATTACTATATTTGGATGACTCTGACTTCTGTCTCCCACTGTCAATGGATATGCCATATAGTTTCATTTTGAAACAGCATTCCGTGGTCTTAGAGAAATACTCAGTAACATCTTTCAAATATAAGTATTTTCATACTAAAAATAGTTTTTAAAATATTTTACTACATTTCATGGTAAACACACACACACAGAGATACACACAGACACACATACACAAATGTTAAAACCTATACAGTTCTACTGGATAGAACTGTATGCTATAGCCAATTAAAAATTATAATTTCATGTACTCAACCAAACACTAGTCAGAAAATGGTTAATCTAAAGAGACCTTAGAGATCTTTAAGAGCAGTTTTCTCCTATTAGAAATGAAACAGAAACATGAAGAGATAGAATGACTGCTCAGGTTAAGACAAAATGCTTACATATTTTAAATGATCATGAAACCACAGCATGTGAAGTTTTGTGGGATGCAGCTAAAGCAATGCTTAGAGGAAATTTTATAACTTTAAGTGCTCATATTAGAAAAGAACAAAGTATTTGTATCGATGACTTGAAGAAGGTAGGGAAATAAAGCTAAAACAAGTTGATGGAAGGAAGTAACAAATATAAAAGCAGAAACCAATGAAACAGAACAAAACAAGAGCAGAACTTAACAAGGAAAGCAGTTTGTTCTCAGAAAAAATAATAAAATTATTAGCAAGTTTTAAAAGACAAAAAACAGGGGTGCCTGGGTAGCTCAGTTGGTTTAGCATCAGACTCTTGGTTGTCTCAAGTCATGATCTTGTGGTTTATGTGTTCAAGTTCCACATTGGGATCTGATCTGGCAGTGGGAGTCAGCTTGGGATTCTTTCTCTTTTTTCTACTGCCCTTCTCCCACTCACTTTCTCTCTGAAAATAAATAAACTTAAAAATGTTTTTAAAAAAAAAAATGACAAATTATAAGTAAAAGAGGAGTTATCATATGGACCCTACATACAACAAAAGGGCAAGGAATTTTAGGCATAATTTTATGTTAATACATTTGGCAACTTAGAAGAAATTATCAAATTCTTGAAAGATATAACAAAACAAACACAAGAAAAATTGTAATTTGTATATCCATATACCTATTTTTAAACATTTAATTTATATTTCAAACTCTACCCATGGAAAAAATTCAGGCTTAGATGGTTTCAATTCTTTTTTTTTTTTTTTTTCTATTTCTGAGAGAATGGGAAAGAGAAAGAGTGAGCAGGGGAGGGTCAGAGAAAGAGGGAGACACAGAACCCGAAGCAGGCTCCAGGCTCTGAGCTGTCAACACAGAGCCCTACGCTGGGCTCAAGCCCATGAACTGTGAGATCATGACCTGAGCAGAAGTCGGACACTTAACCGACTGAGCCACCCAGGCACCCTGATGGTTTCAAGTCTTAATTTTTATTTCAATTCTCAATTCAAATGAGATATGGTGAATTCTCTCAAACTTTCCAGAAAGCAATAATGCTAGTCTCACACAAATTATTTCATAACACAGGGCGAGAGGGAAAGTTGTCAGTATAACCCTGACAAAGCCTGACAAAGATTTTGCAAGTAAAGGAAATTATACACCCATATCTGTCATGAACCTAGATGGAAAATTTCTTTAAATATTAGCAAATTCAATCTAGCCATACAATAAGAGTGCATATTATGACCTGCATTGATTTAAGTAAAACAATCATTTAAAAAAATTCACTATACTAGAAGAAAAAAAATCTTACTATTGTCTCTATAGATGCAGAAAAAGTACTTGACAAAGTTCAAAAGACACTAATAACAAGAGCTTTCTGCAAACTGGAAATAGGGGACCTCTCCGAATGTGGTAAAAGGTGTCTATAGCTTACATAATATTTCCTGATGAATACTGAACACTTTCATGCTAAGTACCAGATACCTGCTCTTACTACTTCCTTTCAACATTGCATTTAAAGCTCTAGCCATTACAGTATATAGAAGAAAATAAATAGTTTGGATAGGAATAAAAAGAACTGTCTTTATTTGCAGAAATATGAGCTTCTACATAGAAAATTTAAGGAACCTATAAAAAGCTACTACAACTGATAAATGAGTTTAACAGGGTTATATGATCAATTGTAGCTCTATATACTATCAACAGACAACTTGAAAATAAAATTTTAAATACAACATGATTTATACAGCATATAACAATACAGCATAAAAATAAAAAAAAAATTTGGTAATAAATTTAAATGCGTATAATGCCTCAACACTGAAGACCACAGTATATTGTTGAGAGGTTTTTAAAGACTTCTTTATGTAGATTGAGAGATCTATCATGTTATGAATTAAAAGATTCAATATTGTTAAGATATCAATTCTACCAGGAGCACCTGAGTGCCTCAGTTGGCTAAGTGTCCCGACTTCAGCTCAGGTCATGATCTCATGGTTCATGAGATTGAGCTCCACATCAGGCTATCTGCTGTCAGCATAGAATCTGCCTCAGATCCTCTCTCCCCCACTCTACATGTCTGCCCCTGCTCTCTCTCAAAATAAATAAACATTAAAAAAAATTTTTAAAAAGATATCAATCCCAAAATTGATTAGTATTATCCTTATCAAAATCCTTATCAAATCCTTATCAAAAACTGTTAACTGACTTCTTTGTAGTGGTTGAAAGAAAAGCTGATCCTAAAATTGACATGGAAATGTAAGAATCTAGATATAGTCAAAACAATTTTGAAAAAGCCTAAGAAAGTTGGAGAATTTATGCTTTATCACATGACTTAGTAGGAAGTCAAAGTCATCAAAGCAGTGTGTTATGACATGGAGACAGGCAATTGGTTAAACAAAATAGAATAGTGATTTCAGAAACAGTCCCATACTTACGTGGTCATTTAATTCTCTACAAAAGCAGTAAGACAGCTAAATGTAGAAAAGAAAGTTTATAAATGGCAATGGACTGATATTATTAAATATATGGGAAAAAAGAATCTTGTCCGTTACCTATACTGTCAGAGATGGGCTCCGGCCGGGTCCAGGGGTCCCTGAAGGATGGACGGCGTCGGCGAGGGAGGGGTGAGAGAGGCCAGAGAGTCTCTCTGGTCACCAGGCAGGCATCTTGGCTCTGACTGGGGCTCAACTTTGTTTTATCATTAAGTGTTTGGGGGTCGGCACAGAAGTGGCATTTGCCTTAGACAATGATTTCTGATAACAACTTTATTTGATATGTAAGAATTTCCCAGAACACAGATTTGTAGAAGACTCATGCATAACGTTTACAATAGTGATTGAGGTAGGAGATTTAGATGCTTATCCTATGGGGAAGGAAGGCGCCTTTAGCATACCAGACAAAGTTTTTAGCATAAAAAGGGTGAAGTTACTTCTTTGTGGACAGGGGTCAATAGCTTGTTTGTTTAAGGTGGAAGTATCAAGAAAAACAGGTCTTTCAGGGAACACCTTTGCTCTTATAATCACAAAAGAAGTTCCTCAATAGGTTCTTTCACAGGGAGTAATCAGCATATACAAGGCCAGAAAATGTTCCAACCAGAAACAAATGGGTGGGGGTGGATATTTGCCCTTAACTCTAAATTAGGCTCTTTGCCTCAGGGCCAGACTCAAGCCCCTTTTATTATGTCAAGTCTTGGATCTGCAAGGCCCTTAGGAAGAGCCTTTTAACAATCATCCACAATGTTTTCATCTGAAATCTCTTTGGAAAAGGCAGGAATATGCTTTTCCTTATGAGCTATCTGTGTCGGGAATATCAGTCTGATCTGGAATATTGTGAGGCCTGGTGAATACCAGCAGCCTCATTTCCAACATGAGCCAGTAGTAGCAGAAGGAGATACCAGTTTTCATTTCTCATGACAGGAACTGTGCAAACACTACCATTTCCTCGCTGT